AAAAAATTTTTGCGATTTTGATTAGCGAATGGAATAATGTACATGCGATTTCATCTTGAAGTTTATAAGCTTGCCTTATTGTTTTCGTACATGTTGTCTTACATCGAGAACAACTCAATTCCGAGCGACATGTCAATGTATACTGACAGTTGAACATGTCGATATTATTCAAATTTATATATAATTGTGAGTTCTTATAATTATTACATGGCTTCGCGACACGATTCATGTCCTATGGTGGTAAGTCAATTAATGTTGTGAACTCAGGCATTATCTAATGAGAAATTTGTATAATTGTTAGATTAACAACGCTGCATCCTTGCCAATTTGCGAGTGACTTAATCATCGAGGACATGTAAGTCAATTATATTGTATCTTTATTGCTGAGGATGACTCCAAAGAGAGTCGAAACGTCCAAATACAGAAGACTTTAAGCTAACATCTGAGTATGGTTTTCACCTATCTTTGCGCCGTTCAACGTTGCTTGACTCTCACTAGCCTAATTTAGTCATACTTTAAATTATTTTTTACTCTCTTTAACTGAAAAAATTACATCCAATCCGATTACAACATTGAGAAATTTTAACGTGACGGTAGACAAAAAAGATCCACATCTGCATAAGCATATAAAAATAATAATTTTACTGATCACTAGCACCGACTAGATAAGTTTTCTAACTCGTCACTGAATAGTTACTACTTATATATTTTTATTTCTAACAGAATTCTATGCTCTACAATCATTTTTAAACAGAGTTCCAGCTGCTACTTCTTCAATTTTGATCTTTTAATAATATAAAAAATGAGCAACTTTTTTTTATTTTGCTAAAGAACTATGAAAAGTGTTGGAACAATCATTATTTTTTTAATAGAACGACGTGCTAATTTCACAATCCAAATTTATGTGAATTTGTCAAGTTAGTACGACATTCTGTTAATATAAAGAAAATAATGACAGGATTCTACATAATTGCAATCATTTGCTCGATTGTTAGAAATAATTACCGTTGTTTAATTTTTATAATAGTCAACTTTTTCTTCGTTGCATCGTTCGACAGAGAACATTGTATCTGCAATTGATTGCATAACTACAACGGTCAGGTTCCCATAACCCTCGACACCACGACTATACTTCTCCAAGTTGAAAATGATGTTGGCGCCTGGACTGTACTTATCTACGATCTATGATCGCTCGCTTACCTTTCGCGTGAGCTTTATAACCGCTCACGGTAACTTGCACGCACACTTAATTGTGTCCACCCGTTAGATACGCGCCGCCACATACTAATTTCGACATCGATCGTGAGAATAGCAAACGTAATCTTTTATTTGTCATGTCTCGCGGTCTGTCCTCTCTGCATTGTCCGATTGCGAACAACAAATTAGATTCTCCCGAGAACACAATGGTGCAATTTCGTCAGCTGCAAGTAAAAATTGCGCAATAACGAACAAAAATATCATTATTGATGTGTTCACATGGTGTAAATTAATAAAAATCCTCAAACGCTTCTCGATATGTAAAACAAACTTACAGCCGTCTCGCGTTAATCTCATATAATCGCATCACGTACAAACATTCGATATCGCAAACATTAATTATTATTGAGATTTTAACGCGCTTCACGGTCCACGTTTGCGTCAT